AAATATATATTTTGCAGCTTTTAGTTTTTAATATTAATTTACAATATGGTCACCCAACACTTAACTATAGCCTCTACCTCAAGAGGTAGAGGAGCCAAATGGCTGGCTCACTGCTGCCAACTAGCGGTCAGAGGCTGAACTACAACATAAAAAGGAACGGCTGGCAGGAAAGTTGACGTTTTAAACCTTAATAAAAAATAGATTCAGGGCTTTATAATATTGATACAGTATCGGGAAATGAAACATCACGATATTTCAGTGTATCGATATTTTCTTACACCCCTAAACATAGGCCGAAATTACTACCCGATCAGGTGAGGTTCTGARGCCAGTCAGTAGCTTGCTGTTCTTTTCTTCACTGAATGGCGCAYACTTCAAGGCTTGAATAACATGGTTCCCACCATGTCGGACACGAGCATGCTCACCAAAACCAGTAGCTCAGTTTGATCCTCAACCGAAAAACAGGGCACGGCTGATATTGATCCAAATAGGCAACAGGGAAGCTGGTAYRYYTCACTTGTTAGATTAGTCGCTCCGTCCCGGCTCCCACCGCCACGCGTCCAGGCTGGCAAGTTAAGATCCAATAAATCAAATGAAGCTGACAAGACATAAATACAAGATTTCTTTGTAAAAAATTTGATTTTTTATCCCGTTTTCGACACCTTCRTAAGTGTTTGCAGTATTTGCAGTGCAGTGTTGACAGCAGTGAGTCCATCAGCTGTAATGTGAACCGTGGTAACATGAGGTGCTGCTGTTAGCTCTGCTCAGGCAGCACAGAGAAAACCCACATCTGCCATCATTAACCCTTCAGTCCAACAACAAACAATCTGGAGTTATTTGTGGAAAAAACCACTAAAATAAAGGAATTATCTACGTCTGTGGTGTTTTAGGAACATGTGAATGCTCAGAAGCTGCAGTGTGTTTCTGGAACATGTGAACAGTTTGAGTCATATTTATCTGTACAGCAGCAAACATGATGAACAGTTTGAACAAATCAAGCAGGTTTTATACAGTTTTATTAGAACAACGAGCACTCACACGTCTGTACAGAAACTACACCAAGGACACTTGGAGCAGAGCATCAAATGWTGTCTAAATTAAGCAGAGTAAACCAGCTGCTGGTCGTGGTTTCAGGTTTAGTCTGCAGACGTCCTCTGCTCTGACTGCAGGCAGGAGAAAACACCCAGTTAACAGAGCTCACTGTTAAACACTATCACTGTCACCCTGCATGTTGGTTCTTGTGCCTCTGGGCTTTTTATAGCCTCAGTTTGCTGCAGATGTTGCATCACAAGCATCAGATTTCATCTGTTTCCCATCATCAGGTGGTAGCTTCAGGGATATTCTGCTTTACGTTCTTCAGACTGGTCCATGGAGGTTTTGGAGCTGTGTAAGAAATATCGACACGATGGTGTGGTGGCCATCGATCTGGCAGGAGATGAGTCCCTCAACTGTAAGGCCTATCCAAACCACAGGATGGCCTAYGAGGTGAGCATGTTGAAGCACGAACAGGACCTAACAGCTGGATTTAATATGAAACACGTCGTCACACAGCAGATCCTAAAACCTGAAGCGCTGACTCGGCGTATACAGCAGCTTTGTTCTGTTTCCTCAACAGGAAGCTGCTGGTTTCGTGCTGTTCACTTAGTTTCTCGGGCATGGTGCCAAAGCAGTTTAAAAATAACACAACAGGTAGAACTGGCTTGGATAATGTGGTGTGTCATTTTCAACAAGAACAATATTATTCTCACAGGCTGGTACGGTTAATAAGGCGGTAGTTTTTGGCACCAAAGACCTTCAGAAATAAAACTTCATCAAAGGAATGCAGGATCTGGTCTGGAGAAAAGAATCTGGATCACTCAGAGCTACTACCACACCAAACTGTAGCTCAGTGTCAGTAAAATAGCATCTTTATCACTATGTCACTGAGAAACATCCAGACAGAATATAGGAAATAAAATATTTTGTTTAAAGTTAGTCTGTTTTTAAGGCCTGGACAGATTGAAAAACTGATTAACTTTAGGAGTCGATCTGTGACAGTCAGCTGACCTTAGAAAGAGAAAAAATATCCATAACTTAGTTTGATAGATAGTTAGTTAGATTTTGATGCAATAATAGCTGAGAGTCCTCCTCATCACAAACTCTGAGTTAAAAATCCGTGTATGGTTTGTTCTTTCATGTTTTCCTTTCGAAAAAAAAAAGAATAATCCAGTGTTTTTTTTAGTTCTTTTGTGTTAAAAGTAAATTACAGAAACAACAATTGCAAAAACATTTAAAAAGGCTACATTTTTTATTTTAATGGTTAAATCAAAGACAACCTTTAGTGTTTGTTTCTTTGTGGTGCGTTACGTTTTCACTGAGCGCTTTAGAAACGGCCTTGTTTGCAGGAGTTGACACATCTTGAGAGCTATTTTACCACGAATAAAAGGGCTTCAATATACAGTATAAATTATGCAGAATTAGTTTTGATTTAGCCATTTAGGACCGTTTTTAGCAGTCTTCTTCCAGTCACTGTAAACTTCTCTTATTTGGTGACTTCCATCATTCCCACATGGCTTCATATTAAAATAGAAACTAGACATTTTTGGGATTTAAATAGCTAAAGCAAAAATCAAACACTGTGGATTTTGAATTAGTTTGATTTTACATTTTTATATTTAGGTTTTGCAAAACAAATAATAAAAATAATAATGAATCATACAACAAATCATAGGAGAGCTTTGTTTTTAACTTTGTCATGAAAGCTGTTGGTGATATTTTAAGTAATGCTGTGTTTTCCTGTTTACAGCACAAACTGTGTTTATTAACATAGCATACAGGTGTTAGCATGCAGCTCATGAGTTAGCTCATGTCTCTGAGCTAACAGGTCTACTTTAATGTAACCATCTTGTGGTAATGTGGACAGTTTGTAATGATTTATTGTGTACAGACATGCTTTTTGTTTCCATGAAGACACACAACTCTAGCATGGTTCAGGTCATTCTCAGACAACAGTCAATGTTTTTCCCTGAAAGCAGCTCTGTTTGAGTGTAAACTCAATGAGTCTCAAACCAGTTTCCTTTTAAATGCTTTAGCTTCTCAGAAACATAAAGTAGTGATCAAACTGTTCAAGTCTATTTAGCCTGAAGGAAACATTTAAGCTAAAATCAAACACTTTGACAAACATTGTGAAACAGAAACTCCTCAGACTGAAGAAGTCTGAAGAAACCGTCCAGAGGACCTGCTTAATTTTTCTTTTTGGTTATGAATCAGAGCTTAAGTTTTATGATTGTGTTGGACAAACTATAAAAAAACATTATGCGCAATTCTTTCTGATGTTTTCACATCTCATGACCTGTTATGGTGTGTTCACACCGAACGCGATTTCAGCGTCAGGAGCAGCAGTTTTACATACAAAGTCTATGGTGGACGCGCTTCAAGCAGCGTCGGGAAGTTCTGCGGCGCCTCAAGCGCGATTAGAGCAGCGCGATTTGAACGATTTGAAYRAKCTGAGCGTTCGACGCGCTGAGGCGCAAATCGCTGAAGTTAGAAAATCTGATCTTTTGCAGCTCGACGCGCCACGTCAACCAATCAGAGAGACTCTGTGTGACGTAGCGACATATTTCACGACGGGACAGTTTACTGAATGATGTCCACTAACCTGCAACAGACGGAGCGGAGCTTTTTAGCTGAAATGAGTACCTGCAGTCAKTGTCCTGATCCGCAGCAATGCGTGGCAGCGACTCATCAGACTGGAAAAATAGTCCTGAAAGCGAGCTGTGAGCCTCTACTCTGAATTATCTGGTGAATTAATTATGAATTAATTATCTGATGAGGTGACATGCTCTTGCCCTCTGTAAATAAAGCAAAGCCACTTCCTCGTCCAACATTAAACAGAGGAGGGAGGGGCGGGGCGGCTGTCGCCGTGCAGCGCAGCTGTCCTGCGTCTGACCTCAAAGTGCACAAGCTTCAAACTTCAGTGTTGGCTGCGATTTTGAAGCTGAAATCGCGTTCGGTGTGAACGCAGCATAAGTGCTTAGAGGATGAACCCAAAAAACCCAAACCCAAACCCAAAAAACAAAACTACAAAATGCAAAAGAAACATCAACATTTAGAAKGTTTTTGTCACCTTTATTCACTATTCAATAATTCGTACACTTGTTTAGCAGAAGAATTGTATTAATTTTTGAAACACTGGGGCTCATGCAAGAACATGTTCATATTCTTATCCTAAATTTCTCTTACTTTTGTTCGTACGAAGGGTTCATACACGTCAGATTCAACAAACTCTTCTATCTTCAGGAAAAGTGTGTAAATGAGGAGCGTAAACGGATGAATGTGTATCAGGTGCTCGTGCACGAGGAGATTAGCATAATTACCACCCCCAAAATCACCATATAAGGCTATGCTTCCTGCCCCACATACCAGGAAGTGTCCATTCATGAATGACATCGTAAAGTAAAAAAGAAGAACTTTATGAGTTCGGAGACTGAAGTCCTGCTCTCAGAGATCCAGAAAATCTGTCATTTTTAGCAGCATCAGACCTGCTAAAGCTGAGGAATGAAAAGATGACTGTTAATGTTGTGTCTCCTGTGGGTCGACACAGTCACAGAAATAAAAATCTAAATCATATTTATCTCTCTCTAGTCCTGCTCCGGTTTTTCTTTGGTCAAATATTTTTAATTTAAGTGTAAACACCTGTGTTACATAGTTTTCATTTATCAGAAGAAGAGCGGTTGCGCTCCGCTGTCACAGCTGATGTGACACCTCTGATGAAGTACTCGTCGAAACATGTCAGGTATCTGTAAAAGACCTAAAAATAACAAAGTGTCCAGTAATTAGGAAAAAGTTTTAAGAAGGTCAGTTTCTGTGGCGGCCATCTTGAATTGGGTTGACTACAGGTTGATCAGTTAAATCTACATGTTTGTTTTCTGAAAGCGTTATTAAAACACATTCAGCTGTTTGTCAAGCTTTTCAGAGAAAGTTTAGTGTTCACTCCATATAAATATCCTGCAAAGAATGTTGGAATTTTATTTTTAAATCAAGCCAAACAAGACTCTTTCCCTGTGGGCACAAAAAGATGTTGTAATCTTTGATATCCGTCCAGCGCTGCAGATGTGAAAACCAGATGTTTGGCCGATGTGTTGGGTTGCTGATGTGTTCTGTGTTGGATGTGGTCAACAGGAAGCAGTTCGCTGCGGGATCCACAGGACGGTCCACGCTGGAGAGGTGGGCCCGGCCACGGTGGTGCGGGAGGTGAGCTCCGTAATGTGTGTCAATAAAAACTAACAGGAACCTGAACGAGGAGCAGAGGTTTGTGCTCACTTTGTGTTTCGTCCTGACGTGTGCAGAGGTTAGAATGAAGCGACATTATTTAAGAAGGAAAATGAGACCTGAGAGACAAAGAAAACAAGTAACAATGTGCTGGTGGCCAGTCAAGAACAAACTGAAGTTCTTCTGTTGCCAGAACAACAAGCTAACATCCACTCACCAAAAGCATGAATGTCAGACTCAGTTCTGGCTTGTAAAGGTTTCTGAAACAGTTTATTAAAGGCACAGTGTAGGATTTGTTGTTTTCAGCGACATCTAGTGGTTGAGTGGTTGAATCATCCTCCCTGGTGTCCTGATGCATCTCAGTAATCCAGGTAAAAAAATCAAAAAGAAAAAAATTGTATAGGTCTTCTGGACGGGTTCTTTAATGAAACATTTCGTCTCTCCTCCAAGAGACTTCTTCAGTCTGAGAGTTTC